TTTCTCCCCGTTTCTTTCAACTCGACGGTCCCTCCTCTTAAGTCTCCACCCCGACTCCTCCAACCTGCCGCCGCTCTCTTCGTGTTCGCCGGCAAAATTCTCCGAGATTTCGCACTGCTCTCAATTCGAACACGCCGCCTCTTCCACCTTATCCGCTTTATCATCTCCTCTCTTTTCTGCGTCTGCAAATTCAGTCGTCGCCTTTGCTTCACTAGATTTCTTTTTTTGCTTCCTTCACAGACCGCCACAGCCATCCTCACCACCACAGCCAATACCACTACCCCTAGCAGCATCTTCATCAACATGACGAGGCTTCGTTCCCTAATGACGATAATGATCATCATCGTCGTCATCTCTGCCCTGCCATCTCATTATTGTAGTCACTCTGCAACGAAGTATGGTATTGTACACGTATTTAACACTGTGATTCAGAGATAATGTTCAGAATTGCAAAACAGTTGGAGGAAACTTGTCACATAAATATATATATATATATATATATATATATATATATATATATATATATATATATATATATATATATATATATATATATATATATGTAAGGTAATGCTTTATACCTATTTGCCTGTCAGGTTTTAATGTTCCTGCTCAGCAAAGGTCTGGATTTCTTCGTTATTAGGAATATAAATAGGAAATAGAGCGATACAGATTTGCCATCTTCTTATCGGTCTGTTTATTGACGATCTTCTTGCAGCTATCCGAAAACTTCCGAAATGCAACGAACATCTCATAAATGTCTGTATAAAGAACAATTATTGCCACGAACCAGGGTTAAAAAAAAAATGTTCCTATAAATAATGTCCCCTCTAGTTCTACATGCATCTACGATGTGGTAGGGAAGGCTGGGCGGAGACTTTAGCCCCCTTTACATTTTGCTGAAACTGAGAATTGCAGAGAAAACAATTTTTTTTTTTTTTGACTTCATAGCATTATCCCATCTATGACAAATGCTATAAGTTGAGATGTATAGTTTGCCTAAAATCTTATTATTTTTCAAAATAAAAACAAAAACTTTATTCTCTATTTTTTTCCGAAACATTAGCTTCTAAAACTTTTGTATATGTTTTATATACTGAAAAATATCTCTAGATCTCGTTCTAGAAAATAAGTAAAAACGTACACTAAAAGTGTGTATTTAAAATCAAAACAACAGAAAATGTTTTAAGTAGTTTAATAGACTACAAAATATTTATTTTGTGGTAAAATCTCATAGAAAATATAGCATATGAAATCTTTAAAACTGATTTAAATCTTTAAAACTTCTCACCACTTTTAACATCTGATTTAGACTTTCGACTTTTTATTTTGTGGCGCCGTACTTGAATATTCATATTTATTCTAGATTTTGCAAGCATATCTAACAATTGTTGTCGCAGGCATATATGTTTGAATTAATTTTCAAAAAGGTAACGAAATCTTCACAATGCGGGTGCCTTTCGTTTATCTTGATTTCTTTGACCTCTAAACACGCAGGCATTTTCTTTTTACTGAATTTGTAAAAGGCTACCCGCAATAGAAGATGCTTCTTGGTTTGTGATTTCCCTAAAATGAAATGCGTTCGTCTCATTGATCGACACGCAGATTTTAAGTTAAAAGCTGAGATATTTGAAACCAAACTATCGAGTGAAAATCAGAATGCGTTTTATTTTATTTTTTTTAATTTCATTATTTCTTTAAATGTTTATTTAATTATTTTTATTATTTTCCTTTATCTCTTGCTATTTTCGAGTCTTCTTCCCTCAGCAATACATCGTTTTTTTTTTTTTCTACTTCCGGTTTCTCTTTCGAATGATAAAAATTGAAAGAATTTCAATCATCATCATAATTATTATCAGCCATCATTCTTCCTTAATTTGTTTTTGCTTTTTGTGGTCGTTTTTCTTCATTTATTCTCGTTCAGTTTTCAGACCTGCAGCAAACCGGGAGTCACTGGAGATCAAGTGACAACAAGTCTCCCTTCACTCCAGCACCTTTCACAGTATTCTAGGTGCTTTTAACACTGTCATCGTCTGCAATATTGTAACAGTTCAATTTCCAGTCCCTCTACTGTTGTTATGGATACTTCGAAAACGTTATCAGTGCTCGGATAATGAACTGGAAAGTTTGCCGTACATGTCGTCCATTTCACTCAGTAGTCTGGAAAGGTCGGTGTGTGTGTGCATATATATATATATATATATATATATATATATATATATATATAGAGAGAGAGAGAGAGAGAGAGAGAGATAGATAGATAGATAGATAGATAGATAGATAGATAGATAGATAGATAGATAGATATTCCACTTCCAGCAACTGTCAGAAGTGTAAAATTTACCAACTAATATTTTTTATTTATTACTATCAAATCTGATTCGCAAATAATAATAATAATAATAATAATTATTATTATTATTATTAATATTATTGTTATTATTATTACTATTGTCATTATTTATTGTTAATATTATTATATATTTAACGTCTTTTTCTG